TTAGGGTTCGTTAATTATGTGCGTCGGTTCGTCCCCGACATGGCCCGGTTAACTGCCCCACTGAAGAATTTACTTCGGAAGGGGGTCGCTTTTACGTGGGGGGGGGAAAGAGCATGCTGCCTTATCTGCCCTGAAAAATGTTCTCTGTTCACCGCCCGTAGTGCGCATCGCCGACCCACACCGCCCATTCGAAGTAGTTACCGACGCAAGCGACATCGCCATTGGAGTCGTACTGCTACAGTATTTCGGCAACGGCCTGTTAAAGTTTAGAAGAAAGAAGAGAGTTGCACTAGCAAGAATGAGGATACAAATAGCAAACCCTAGAAGGGTTGTACTCGCTATAGAGCACCCCACTACAGGCTAGAGCATAAGATAACATTCTGACACACCCCCATAGCCAAAGTGGGGTGTAATCAGCAGAGTAAGCAAGGGAGTACAAGCTCAGGGTGGATCACAATGTCACCACACATTCTGAGCACAAGTTCAAGAAGCAATAGTTTAAGTTCACAATTATGAGCAAAGCTAGTGGTAGTCACAACGGGCAAGTGAGGAGGAGGAGAGAGAGTGAGAGGAGAGGAGATAGGAGGCGACGGCTGAAGCTGCAGACACACAGGCAACAGGAGGCAGACTGGCACAGCGGCTACCGGACGAAGTCCCCGGAATACAGGAGTAACAGGCCCCGCGGCTAAAGTAGCGGCAGACGAGCAACGGACCCACGGGCGGCTGGCACAGCTGGCTACGACTGGGCTACCGGACGAAGTCCCCGGAATACAGGTGCTGCTGGCGACACGACGGCAACCTCCATTCAGCTTCCCCAAACTATCCCACTCCCCCCTGGCACATACCCGCTGCTACACCGCTAGCTCCACTCCCCCTTCACCCCCCCTTAGTACCACTCCACCGGCTCCAACACGTCCACCCCCCCTCAGCGTTAGCTGCAGCAGTGGGAGACGAAGGAGGAGGAGGAGCAGGCGACGCCACACACCCGCCACCCCCCAACCGCCACCCCCCAACCGCCACCCCCCAAACCCTAAAAACAGGGTAGGGAGGTAGGGGGGGGGGGGGCAACGCGCGGCCCCCCAGTAGACTCCCCTCCCGTCGCCTGTCGAGGCGACCCTGGGGGGGGCCGCTTGCGGGGCGCACGGCGGGAAGAAAAACTGCCGCACGCCACGGGGCGTGCGGCACAGAGGGTAGCAGTAGCAATTGCAGCGGAAGCAACAAGGTGGTGAGCCCACCCACAGGATCGATCCAAGGGGATCGACCTGCTCTGATAGCATGTTAAAGTTTAGAAGAAAGAAGAGAGTTGCACTAGCAAGAATGAGGATACAAATAGCAAACCCTAGAAGGGTTGTACTCGCTATAGAGCACCCCACTACAGGCTAGAGCATAAGATAACATTCTGACACGGCCTACAGCCCATCGCATACGAGTCACGAAAACTGCATCTGCCCGTGAAAAATTACCCGATACACGATCTCGAAATGCTCGCGATCGTGCACGCGTTCAAAGTGTGGCGCTGTTACTTGACCGGCGCAGACGTGTCAGTACGGACAGACCACAAATCACTACAGTACCTCCGCGCACAACCCCACCTCAACCCACGACAGGTTCGCTGGCTCGATTTCCTCGAGTCGAATTTCCATTACACGGTCACCTACAAAAAAGGGGCATCCAACATTGCCGACGCACTGACCCGTCCCACTGCCCAAATCCATGCCATACTACTCGCCCAGACCAGCCCACTCCTCACAGGACTATTTACCCACGGCTACCAAACATACCCATTCTTCACCGGAGGAAACTCGCAGCAGTTCGCAGCAGCAAAAGGGGTTTATTACGTAAAAGTCGGCACCGATCGCATCTGGGTACCGGGCTACACTTTGCTAAGGGAACTGTTACTATAGGAGGCACACGACGGGGTTACCTCAGGCCATTTCGGAGTAGAAAAAACACGGCAGCAGCTGCAGCGGTATTACTACTGGCCCGAAATGCTGATCGACGTGCAACGACACGTGGCATCGTGTCCCACCTGCCAGCTCATGAAGTCGTCACGACAACGACAAGCAGGACAGTTGCAGCCGATACCATCCCCAGAGCGTGCTTGGCAGCAGGTGACGATGGACTTCGTCACGGGGTTACCGGATGGAGCAAGTGGGAACGATACGATCCTGGTCGTCGTCGATCGGCTGACGAAGATGGCACATTTCGCAGCCTGCAAGAAATCAATCACAGTCAAAGAAATGGCCCGCCTCTTCATCGCCACCAGCGTTCGACTGTTCGGGATACCAGCGGCGATCATCAGCGACCGCGACACGAAATTCACCAGCAACTTCTGGCGGAACCTGTGGCAGCAGTTCGGCACGCGACTACAGTTCAGTTCATCGTACCACCCCGAAACCGACGGACAGACAGAACGGACAAATCAGACCATGGAACAACTCATCCGAGCCACGTGCGACGACCCGACCACGTGGGAACAGCAACTGCCACTCATCGAGTTCGCATACAACAACTCGCCATCCGCCACAACCCAACAGTCACCGTTCCACCGGACAAGACCCCACAGTACCCATGACCCCGAATCCCGACAACCCAGTACCACGCGCGCAAAGGTTCGCATAGATGTTACAGGCAGCACGGACCCGAGCAGCAGAAGCAATAAAAAAATCAAACGTCATCGCTAAGCGCAACGCCGACCGCCACCGACGCCCCGTCACTTACCAACCCCACGACCTGGTATTACTCGACACTAAAAACCTCCGCCTACCCATCACTCCAAAACTCCTCCCCCGATATTGCGGGCCATTTTGCATCAGCCACATTATCACCCCCGTCACCGCCCACCTCCTCCTCCCTGCTGACTGGTACGTCAGCCCGTCATTCCACGTCAGCCTGCTTCGCCCATATGTCCCATCCACCAGCCAACTGCCTCGCAACCGGCCAGCATGACTCGACCGCCGACAGGACCAATCATCACGCCTGAATAGATACTGAGCCACCGAGTTCGTGACCCACGGGGAGCCCGCAGGATTGAATTTCTGATATGCTGGAAAGACCGCACGCCCACCGAAGACAACTGGGTTCTCCTGGATATAATTGAGAACCACACTGTCCTCACGAGTACCTACGCAGCCGAAACTTTCGAGATGTACACGCGCTCTCATAAGGAGGGCCTCCATGGGGAGGGGGGTAGTGTAAGGAAAATTCATTTTCCTTACTTCGCGCCACTGCTTACCGCGTACATTACCATTCCCGCCATCGGCACCCAACAGTGAAACGTTACCCGCTCGCGACACTCGCCTCGACCACGACTCCCGCCACTGTTCACGATGCGACCCAACCTCACAGTTCGGATAGTAACCCGCGCTCCGGACCTCCTCCTCGACATTTCCCAACCTCGGCGCTAGGCCTGTAGCGCACCCCAATTTCTTCGCTCATTGTATTGTTTGCTTTGATAGTGCAATTCTCGTTCGATCACTCAATTGCACTCGTAAGACTTACAACTATTTTACCAGCTGATTGTAACTCAGTTTGTAAATTTATTATTTTGACTTCATTTCCCTGTCATTTTTTTCGTCGTTAGGTTCTCGTTAGGTTCTCCTCTTTCATCCACTCTCGTCTCTCATTTCATGTCTCTCAATATTATCCCTCCATTGCAAGAATATACTATACTACTGCATTTTGTCCTGAAAACCCATTATCAATCGATGAGATGTTTACAACTTCATCAATATATTGTGGTGAGGTGATACACTCACCCTAATCGCAGCTCTGGTCTGGTCTGGACCGTCAGCACAAGATGTGGAGGCCCATTTTGTCGCGTTGCACTTCAAATCACGGAGTCCACAGCCCAGGTGTTCAAGCAAGATTTTTCCCTCAATGTCATCGAAGCGCGGTTGCTCAGAAACGAAACCTCAGCTGCCGAACCAGCTCATCCACTAACTTCCCACCTGAGAAAGAGGGCGTATTTCAAATGTCCTCATACTCCAAAGGAGACCAGTCGATGCTCGTAGGGAGTCTCGGAATCGTATTCTCGGAAGACTAAAAGTCGGCTCGGCAAACCCATGAGAGAGATTTCAATCTCCACCGCTCTCAGGTTTGAATGCGTCCGACGTAACACACCATACCGTCACACCGACTTCGTCACCTGTACTGAACTGTAGCAGAGTAATGTACTGTACACGCCTCTGCCTGCTTGTCTCTGTTTCACGGGTCACGATTCAGGAGTCTGGCCAGGATTCAGGAGGGAGACCGCACCAAACAAAGCTGGGCCTGACAAAGCATAGCACATCAGTGCAGCAGCACAACACCTTAGGTAATTGGCATATGGAGTTCTGTGGCGCGACCACGAATGCTTACTATTGTGTCTAGAGAGGGCATTACTATCACCACAACGCTGCCAACTTGCAGCGCGATTAACGAAAATTATCAGGGCCTGGTATAGAACGGCGCGCACAGGTGGCAGCATTAGTAGGGTCACTAGCGGCGGCGCCGCGCCTCGCACGTCACAGCAATTGGTTCATTCCCAGCCTCGGCTTATGCACAGCGTTTTAATCAGTCAGCGCAATGTTACTCGAGCGGCATACGTTGCTGAACGTCGCGACCTAGTCTCTCCGCGCTCGCTACCCCGCGTTCAATTCAATAAGTTAGTGCCTAGTATTAGGAAAACCTAGCGTCAGCCGATTGGTTCTGTCGGGACCCCACCGTCGAGCCTGCTAACTAGCTCGCGCGGAGATGGATCCTATGAGACAGCAAAGTTGCGGCAGGAGAACGCGAGGCGCGCACAGCTTTTGCTCCTTACCGCGACGGCCGCCGCTGCTGTCGCTGCCGCTGCTCGTGCTGCTAGTGCTGGCCGCGTTTCCCGCGTCACGGTTACAAGGCACCATAGGTATGCTTGAGTGCGCGGCTGCGCGCGTTGCGCGAGGTTGCGCGGAATGATGGGGATTCGCGAGGGTGCGCGAGGTGCGCGCGGATGAACGGGGTTGCGCAGGGGCGCGGTGATGAGCGCGGTTGCGGGCAGAATGTGGGGATGCGCGGGAATGCCTGTAGGTGTGCGCGATGATGCGCGCGGTTGCGCGGGGATGAGCGGGGGACGCGCGAAGATTGGCGAGGATGTGCGCGCACGCTTCCAGAAGAAACTCCGGGAGAAACAAGCGCACGAGGGCAGAGTGTTTAGCTGGGGGAGAGGAGGGGGGGGAGGTGGGGAGGGTAAAAGGTTACTGTGTGGACTGGGAGGGGGCTCGCCAGGACAGGAAGGAGTATCACGGGAAGTGGAGCCTGGGAGGTATGGCAGGAGAAACATTCTAGCGCGCAGTGCGGAGACTTTAGCGCGCAAGTGCGGGACTTTAGCGCGCAAGTGCGGGGAGGTATGGCAGGAGAATGAGAGGGTGGGGAGGACCAGGAAGGAGTATAAGGGGAGGGAGAGGGTGGGGAGGGGGTGGAGTGGGAGGGAGAGGGCACGACAGCTGTAGCGTCCTTCCCGTGCTTCCCCCGCTTTTCCCCCTTCACTCCCCCCTTTCCCCCCTCCGCTCCACCCCCCCCCTCCCTCCCACGGCTCCCTTTCACACGCCTGCCAACCACCACCTTCCCCTACTCCCCCGCACCTTCCCAGCAGCAGCAGCAGCAGCAGCAGCAGATTCTGCCGAGACAGGAGGAGGAGCATGCACGTGGGAAGACGAAGGGAGCGACCTCACCGTCATCACTCTCTTCCCCTCCCTCCCCTTCCCCCCCCCCCCCCCTTCCCCCCTCACCTCCGACCCCTTCCCCCGCTTTTTCCCCCTCCCCCGCTCTTTCTTCTCCCATCCCTTCCCCCTTCCTCCCGCACAATTTGAACAGCCACGGATTCTGTCGACTCAGCAGGAGGCAGCGACCTCACCGTGATCACAGTTTCCCTCCCCCTCCTCCTCCCCTTCCCCTCCCACGCCCCCCTCCGCGCCTTCCCAGCAGTAGCAGCAACCGATTCTGCCGATTCAGCAGGCTTGGATGACGACGGCAGCGACCTCACCATGATCACGCTCGCGGATGCTGACGTGCCCGACATCGACGACGACGACACGTCAGCATCCTCTTCGTCCACGTCATCGCCTTCCTCGGTTTCGACTGCTTCCGTACCGTCCTCGTCTTCACGCCCGCTGGTAGTATCAGCCTCTTCCTCCTCCCCTTCCGCCTCTTCATCCTCCTCCTCCTCTGCCTCCTCTTCCTCTTCATCATCCTCCTCCTCCACTTCCTCCTCTTCCTCCGTCTCAACCTCCTCTGCTCCTTCCTCCTCCTCCTCGTCCGTTCGTCGCTCTCGCTCCTCCGCCTCCTCCGCTTCCGCCGCCGCCGCTTCCGCCGCCGCTCAGGCGACAAATTCCTACATAGTCCACCTATCCTCCGCTCCTCCAATCCTGACGTATCGCGGGGGGCTAATGGGCTTTAAAGGCACCGCGATTCCAGACGACGGCGATGACGACGACGACAGCGTGGACGACGACACTAACGACGGTGCTTTTAAGGAGGTTATGAACAAGGCTCTTAAATCGCAGGACGGGCCCGTCGCCGACGCTATGGAGAGCGCCGCGGCCGCCGTCGATTCCGCCGCGAAAATCGCCAAGGCGATTCTGAAACGCGTCGAGTCGGCGGCGACGGCGGCTGTGAACAAGTTAAAAGACGCGAAGCAGAAAGCGGACCAGCGGGCGGAGTTGAATTTCTGGTCGCAGCGGCCGCGAAGCATCCCCGATATGCTATCCCAACCCGTTAAGGAGTTTCAGCAATTCCTGGAGCAGTCGCAGCGGCGAGTTCTCGCGAGCCTGAATATTGCCGAGGAAAACATTTTCCAGAGTTCCACTTTTACCGGGAACAGTTTCGCGGCGACGCTTACGGCAGCGGAGGTGAAAAAACTAAAAAAGCATCCCGCAGTGGCTGCGATCGAGCCGGATGTTTTGTTTACGAAACTCACCACGGATTCGCCGAGGTTCTTGAAGCTGCCCGAAACGCTGTGGCCCGCGACGGGCGGGCAGGACAGCGCGGGGGAGGGGATGGTCATCGGGATTATCGACACGGGCATTTGGCCCGAGCACCCTTCGTTCAGTGATCCCGTGAGTATCCTCGTTAAGAGATGTCGCACTAAGGTTTGAGGACTCAATTTGTTATAAGTGGCGTGTTTTAGCTCGGTCCCATGCTGCTCAGTTCCTCCTTTCTCCCCATCCCATCCTTCCCCGTCCCCTCTTTCCCCATCCCTTCCTCACCTTCTCCCCCTTTTCCCCCCTCCCCCCAGGCCTACAAGCCCTACAGCAAGCCCCCAAGGAGGTGGCGCGGCAGGTGTGAGAAGCGGGCGGATTTCAGCGCGTGCAACCGCAAGGTGATTGGAGCGCGCTTCTTCAGCAAGGGCTTTAAGAGGAACGTGGGGGCCATCAGCAGCAGCGCCGACTATCTTTCGGCTCGAGATGCGGACGGCCATGGCACTTGGTGTGCCGGGTAAGTAGATTGTCTTGTGCCGTTACCCGGGGGTAGTAGATAGAGGACCGTGGGAACGAACAGCAGCAGCGTTGACTATCTTTTGGCTCGAGATGCGGACGGCCATGAAACTTGGTGTGCGGGGTAAGTAGCATCTTCGCTACTGCCATTTACCAGGGGTATTTGATAGCGGAACGTGGGGGCTATCAGCAGCAGCGCCGACTATCTTTCCGCTCGGGATGCGGACGGCCATGGAACTTGGTGTGCCGGGTAAGTAAATTGATAATGTAATTACCTAGGGGATAGTGTGCAGAGTAAGCTTTCTTTTTTCAAACCCTTCCCCGCCCGCCCCAACCCTTCTTTGCCCTTTGCAGAGCAGCAGCAGGCAACGGGCACGTGCAGTATGCAGCAGGCACGGGCTATTCATACGGCAACACCAGCGGCATGGCTCCTCGCGCTCGACTCGCCATCTACAAGGTCCTCTGGAAACAGAGAGACGGGCAGACGCTCGCAACGTACTCGGACATCCGCGCAGCCGTTGATGCGGCCGTATCCGACGGTGTGGATGTGCTCTCCATCTCCCTGGGAGGGAACGTTCCGAGCTACTTCTCAGACATCGCGTATCTCAATGCTGCTAAGGTGAGTGAGATATCCGTTGCTTCCGAACTCGCCTTGATTTCTCAGCAGATGTTACCGCGGCCCCGGAAAAGGAATTTCAAATGTAAAATTTAACCATGACCCATTGCTCTCGTGATCTGTCTCCCACGCGTCACCCCTCAGGCTGGCGTGTTTATTGCAATGGCTGCGGGGAATTCTGGTCGCCCGAATCCCAAAAAGCTGGTCGGCACCATTGGGAATGCCTCACCCTTCTACCTCACTGTCGGCGCCAGGTACGCATGGGATATCTCATATGACGAGCTTGTGGGTCTCTGAAGCTAGGTTCCAACAATGGGTCTTATGTTAAGCCACTTCTGTGTGGTCATATGAGATGGTCTACGCCATGACTTTTCTTTCTTTCTTTCTTGTTCCTCTTCTGCTCCCCCCCCCCCGCCCCCCTTTTCTCATCAGTCATTGTCTCCCCCTCTCCGCCTCCCCTCCAAATCCCTTCCATTTTTTCCCCTTTCATATCTCACTTCCTCACCCCGGCTTCCCCTCAGCTCCATAAGCCGGTACTACAATCTGCAAATGACCCTCGGAGACGGGTCGCAAATCACTGGCGTGGGAACTACCCCTCCTCCCGTAGGCACCAACGGCGTAGTCTCTCTCATAGGATCCGGGACAGGGACAGCAAGTGGGGGAGTGGGGGGGGGGGGAAGCAGGTGGAGAAGGGGGAAGCGGCGGCTGCAGCAGTGGAAGTGACAATGTTGATGCTGGTGGTGATGCTGCTGGTAGTGATGGTGCTGGTGGTGATGCTGCTGGTAGTGATGATGCTGGCGGTGATTCTGCTTCTGATAACACAAGTGACAGCAGCAGCAGCACTGGTAGTACTGATGGCTCTGGTGGTGCTGATGACCCAGCTTTAGACGATAGCAGCGAAGTCAGCAACAGCGACAGCAGCAGCAGTGACACCAGCAGCAGCGGGACCAGCAGCAGTGGCGGTGTAGTCAGTTGCAGCAGCACCAGTGGGGGTGGCGCCACCACAGCAACAGCAGACCCAGAAGCCTTGCTTTCTGACTCCTCTGACAGTTCTTCTACAGATAGCTCTTCAAACGACAGTTCTTCTACTGCAGTCACTTGGACAGACTCAACACCAGTCATCAACGCCCCCCCTTCCTCTTCTGATGACTCCGTTCCTTGGGTAATCTGCAATTATACCTCCTCCGATTCCTCTCTCTCCGCCTGCACGGCTGAAGCACCATCAGCAGGAGCGGTGCTGGTGGTGGGGAGCAGCGCTTCTCCCTCAGGCGCCGTCAACACACTGAAGCTGAAAAGGAAGACGCCTCAAGCGGGGATGTTCGCAACCCTGAAGGAAGTAGCAGCAGGAGCGGGAGGAAGGCCAGCAATCGTTCTATCTGTGGAGCACGGGGAGATTCTGAGAAAATATCTCGAGTCTACGGATAACCCGTAGGCGGAAATCACGGCATCTTGGACGGCTATCGACCCAACGGCTCCCGTCATCGCGTCGTTCTCCTCTGCTGGGCCCGTCGTGAGCCCGCGATTCAAGATCTTCCCGCCTTTCACACCAACGAACAACATCCTGAAACCGGATATTTTAGGTCCGGGCTGCGACCTCGTGGCTGCCATGCCGGGAGATTCCGGCAGCGCTGGCTCAGATTCTGCAGCTGACCAATCAGCTTCGTCGGATAACTCCTTATCTTCCTCGGGAGATTCTTCCACTGACAGCTCGACTCCACCTGATGGTTCTACGTCTGGGGGTGATTCCTCAGGCTCAGCACCAATCAGCTCCGATTCCCCAGGCAACATGTCAGGCCCAGGAGCTTCAACTTCAGCCTCGGGCTGGGGTCTCAATCAACAGTACCCACAGTCGCGGGACTTCACGTACCTTTCAGGGACTTCCATGGCTACACCTCACATCGCGGGTGTAGCTGCTTTGATAATGCAACGCCGGCCACACTGGACCCCGGCGCAAGTAATGTCAGCATTAATGACTACAGCATACACTGATAATGGGGTCAAGAAGCCGATCAAAAGAGAGGCAGTTGGCGAAGCTACACCAATGGATATGGGAGCTGGGCACATCAATCCGTCGCGTGCTTTGGATCCCGGGTTGACGTATAATACCCGCTTCCGTAGCTACTTGCGATTTTTGGCGGGGCAAAGCTTCATTCGGACCAAGCGGTTCTTCCCCTTTGTGCCCTTTATCGTTCCAATGAGGGCGTACAATCTCAACCGGGCGTCGATCTCCGTTACAAACCTCGTCGGCATTGCGTTTGTTACAAGGAGAGCTACAAACGTGTACTCCGAGACATCAACTTACAAAGTTTCGGTCGATCCACCTAAAGGTGTCAAGGTGAGTGTATGGCCCACTAAATTCACGCTGCGTCCAGGACAAGCAGCCACGTATGTTGTAACCATATCGTCGTTGAAGCCGGTTGCGGCCTTCCGGTCTGGGTCCATCACGTGGAAGGATCAGTATGGCCACAATGTGCGCAGCCCGCTTGTTGTGAGATCGGCACTGGTTTAGGATTCCCCATATACCATTTTTGTATGTGAAGAGTCGCGCATTCTTTTCATTTTTTCTGCAGTATTAAGAAATCTGATTTGTTTGATTTGTGCATACTTACCTATACAAGAAGTAGGGCAGGGCAACAATTCTTTGCATTGCAACAAGGCTTGTAAAACAGGGCATCTACTTGGCTTGTACAGGTACTTGGTGTTTGTGGAGTGGCTTCAATGATGTGCACTTACGTGTATGCAGCTAAACAAGGTTTACTGTACTATGGTATTATGTAAGGAAAATTCCTTTTCCTTACTTCGTGTAAGGAAACTTCATTTTCCTTACTTCGCGCCCCTGCTTGCCGCGCACAAGACCATTCCCGCCATCGGCACCCAACAGTGAAACGTTACCCGCTCGCGACACTCACCTCGACTAAGACTCCCGCCACTGTTCACGATGCGACCCAACCACACGGTTCGGTTGGTAACCCGCGGTCCGAACCTCCGCCTCAACATATCCCAACCCCGGCGCTAGGCCCGTAGCGCACCCCAATTTCTCGCGCTACCGTTACCACTATAGTTCGCTATATATTCTTCGCTCACGCCTTCGCTCATTGTACTTTTTGCTTCGATAGTGCAATTCTCGCTCGCTCGCTCAATTGCACTCGTAACACTTGGTATTCAGAGCCTACGATCTCCTCTCGGACCGCACCCACACCTTCGCTTCCCCACTATCTCAATTTTTGGGGGGGGGGGGGGGGGGTAGACGTCTCTCAGCGAACAAAGCACCGCCGCTCGAACTGCTCTCTCGTAAGCACGCACGGCCACGACAGAGGCTCTCGCTGAGCTTGCCCGACACCCACGCCATGGCCGAATTTAATCTCGCGACACTGACGCAGGAGCAGCTCGAACGTCTCGTGCGCCAACTCGAAGATTCGGTGCTCGAAATTGCGACACTCACGGCGGAACGCGACTCCGCTCGCCAGCAACCGATGCCACTCAAGCCGCAGCGCCCGCCCTGCTTCGATCCTAGCCAACGTGGAGGTCCGTCAGTTCAATCGTGAGACTTCATGATTAACGTTTTCTTCGATGCGAATTACGTCGAGTCGGACGCAGTGAAGATTCGCTATGCTGTTTCGCTGCTGAGGGGCGCCATGGACTGGTAGCGAGTCATCGTGACGTCGCCACGCGCCTACGAGCCGCCGTCGCAAGAGGAAGGGCCCGCGGGCCTAGCCGTTACCTGGAGTTCATTCTGCGAAACAGTCCAGTCGCTGCGTCTTGCTCCTGTCGCTCTCTCGCCCACCGCACCGTCCTGTGGCACCACCGTCTTGGCCACCCGTCGATCCCTCGCCTTCGTGGCATGCTCAGTCAGGGACTAGTCACAGGTCTCCCACGCACCTTCCCGTCGCTCCCTCTCTCGCTTGCCCCTCCTTGCTCTCCGTGCGTCGCCGGTCGCTTACGCGCCACTCCCCACTCCTCCTCCCTTCGTCCGGCCACCGCTCCCTTCGAGACTCTCCACTTGGACGTCTGGGGCCCTGCCCCGACGCAGGGGTCTGGGAGGGAGCGTTACTTTCTGGTGGTCGTCGACGACTTCTCCAGGTACACCACAGTGTTCCCTCTTGCGAAGAAGTCCGAGGTGACTGCTACGCTGATCAGGTGGCTTCTAGCCACTGAGGGCACTCGTGGTCGTCGAGTCAGTTGTCTTCACTCCGACCGTGGGGGCAAGTTTCGCTCCGGCATTCTCGGCGGATTCTGCGGCGAACAGGGCATCACCCAGTCCTGGACGCTGCCAGAGTCCCCACAGCAGAATGGGGTTGCTGAGCGCCGCATAGGCTTGGTCATGGACATCGCCCGCACGTCCATGATTCATGCCCGTGCGCCCCATTTTCTGTGGCCCCACGCGGTTCGCTACGCCGCACACCAGCTGAACCTCCAGCCGCGTGTCTCGCGGCCCGAGGCTTCACCGACCAGTCTTTGGACTGGATCCCCTGGTGTTGGGTCGGCCTTTCGAGTCTGGGGCTGCCTTGCACTTGTTCGCGACACCTCCGCGGACAAGCTCTCGGCACGCGCCGTCCCCTGTGTCTTCCTTGGTTTCCCAGTGGACTCTGCTGACTGGTCCTTTTACCACCCTCCCCTCCACCGGTTCCTAGACTCCCGTGACGTCCGGTTTGACGAGTCCGTGTCCTACTACACCCGGTACCCCTGTCGAGGTCTCCCGGTACCCCCTCCCCCTCTCTTCCTCGCACCCTCTCCTCCTCCTGCTCCCTCTCCTCCGATACCCCCGCCCCCCCCTGGTCCTGCCCGTCTGGTGTGTCCCACGCTACCCCTCTACCCTCGGTCGCGCGTCAGGTAGCGTCTCCCTCCCCGCAGTCCTCCTCACAGTCCCCTCAGCAGCCTTCGGCACTTCCGCGACAGGTTACTGTGGACTCGGTTGGTGTTGGAGCTGGAGGTGCAGCCGCTGGCGGTGCTCGGTCTGGGGGTGCTCGGTCGCGGGGTACTGGAGCTGGAGGTGCTGGCGCAGGTGACGCTAGCTCTGGGGGTGCTGGAGCTGGAGGTGCTGGCGCAGGTGGCGCTAGCTCTGGGGGTGCTGGAGCAGGAGGTGCCGGCACTGGAGGTGCTGGTTCTGGGGGTGCTGGAGTTGGGGGTGCTGGCACTGGCGGTGCTAGTTCTGGGGGTGCTGGAGTTGGAGGTCCTGGCACTGGCGGTGCTGGTTCTGGGGGTGCTGAGTCTGAGGGGACTGACGCTGGAGACCCTGGTTCTGCGGAGTCCACTCCGCCTCCCCACCGCCACGACACGCGTCTCCAGGCTGCCCGTCGGCGTGAGCGTGAGGAGCAGGAGCGGTTGGAGAGGGAGCGGCAGGAGCTGCGGGTGCTGGACCTTCTGGAGCAGCAGCGGCAGCAGCAGCAGCAGCAGCAGCAGCAGCCGCAGCCGCCGCCGCAGCCGCAGCGGCAGCAGCCGCAGCCGCCGCCGCAGCCGCAGCAGCAGCAGCCGCAGCCGCAGCAGCAGTGGCCGCAGCCGCCACCGCAGCTTCCCCTGGAGCGGCGGTTG